AAAGAAACGAATTATTCCTAAGTGTGTAATAAAAGTTGATGGTGTTATTTTAGGACAAGTACAGAAATTTAAGTATCTGGGCACATGGATAACATCAGATGGAAGATGCATAACTGAAAAAAGAAACAGAATTGGACAGGCAAAAACTGCATTTTATAAAATGAAAAACATCTTGTGCAAAATATCCTTCTCATTGAGAGTTAGAAAAAGAATTCTTGCTTGCTACATACATCCAGTTTTAACATATGGCTGTGAATCCAGACAATCGGTAGGCAGGCCAAACAATTTCCAGAGGCCTCGGAGATGTGGTTTTACAGAAGAATGCTTAGAATACCTTGGAGAGCCAAAAAGAGCAACCTAGAGGTTTTGAAAGAGGCGGGAGCCCGAAGACAACTTATCACAGACATCAGAAGGAGACTGTCATCATTTTTCGGCCATGTTATGAGAAGAGGGAAAATAGAACATGTTGTGATCACTGGAAAGATATGTGGAAGGAGAGATAGAGGAAGACAACGAGAGAAAATGCTTGACAGTCTTGTTGCATGGCATGGAGGTGTGTCGGCACACGAACTGATACATGCTGCAGGAGATCGCAGATTATGGAGAGGCATGATCGCCCAAGCCAGTCGGCAAGGCACCTGATGATGTTAAGAGATTCTGTAGTGCTTCATTAATTTCCAGAGAGATTCCCTGTGGATGCTGTCAAAAGCGTTTTCATAATAAATGAATCCAATGTAAAGTGGTGAATTCAATTCAAATCGTTGCTTTGTTAATTGACTATTACTATTTTAGGAAATGAGCACCCATATCTTAAACCCCCACGAGCACCTGTGCACCCTACATCTGGTGCTGTATTTAACCTCGCGCATTCCTTGCTCACTGCGGTAGCGCATTTAATTGTTTTCTTTGCTTACGTACTTTTCGATTGTGAGAAAGATCACAGGTAAGAATGGGCAATTATTTTTTTGTAATTATTTTAACATTAATTCATAATCGGGTACCTAGCTAACTGGCATTGGCGCTTATGCTACTTCGTATCTTTAGTAGTCTATTACTTTGTTTTTCCAATGTTTTGTAGATAGCAATTTATTTTGTTTTCTTTGTTTTTATTTTTATTCTTTTATTTTATCATAATCTCTCTCTCTCTCTCTCTCTCTCTCTCTCTCTCTCTCTCTCTCTCTCTCTCTCTCTCTCTCTCTCTCTCTCTCTCTCCCCCCCCCCTCTCTCTCTCACCCACATCCACACACACATTGCACACGCACGCACTAATATAAAGTTATCATCCACCCTTTATGCCTTTAAAAGTCATACAGAGCTCGCAATCTATTCTTCCATTCTCTTATATCCTATGCAGTTCTTTCAATATCATGGAAAGATATAAACCCGAACCAAAAGTATATTAGCAAGCTTCACAATATAACAAATACAAACAAAACGTGAACGTTGCGGCTATTAAGCATTTATCAGCACACACAAAATAAAAAAATACTACATAGATACAAAAAATCACTTTCAATATCATGGATGTAATCTAGTCAAGCACCTTTGACCTCTCTTCTTGTGTTTTCTTAGACGTCCTCGCTTCCTTTGTTTTCCATTTTAGTATTTGTTTGACCATTCTCTGCTTGTTTATTTTCATGATGTGTGAAACATAGATTATTTTTCCTGGTCCTATAACTCTTATTAATAGTGGTTGTCCAGATATTTCTATGATTTCTTCACCCCATCTAGAATTCATCTCATTTTAGGGTCCACAGTTTTTAACTTATGTTTGCTGAATAACATTTTTTTTTGTGTACATGTCATTGTTGTTTTACTTAGCAGAACGATATCATCTGCAAAATCGAGATCTTCCAAGCTATCATCATCATCATCATCATGGGCCCTGTCAACTGCATTATGCTCTCGTTCATCTCCACGGATCACGATCCCTGATTGAAGCTCTCTTGATGATATCACTCCATGACATCGTTTCAGCCAATACAGCATCATCTCTCTTGGTCTGTCTCTACTACCCCTTTTTCCGCTGATCTTTCCAGTTGTCACGATGTTCTCCAATGTCTCTCTTCTAATTATGTGACCAAAAAACAGTGTTTGTCTCTTTCTTATTGATATATATAGAGATCTACTTTCATTAGCTTTTTTCAAACAATCGTTGTTAGTTACTCTAGCCGTCCAAAGTATTCGTAACATTCGTCTCATAAACCACATCTCTATTGCTTCCAAATTCTTCTTAATTTAATCTCTGACATTCTGTAAAGGCTCTGTAAAGGCTAATGTTTCCAAAACACATTTTTCATCACCCAGTCAATAGTTATATCAAATAACTGATAAAATACATACCTTTTTCACTCCAGTTTCAACTGCAAACCAATGACTTTAATCAGTGGCTCTCAACTTTCCTAATGCGGCGACTCTTTAATACAGTTCTTCATGTTGTGGCGACCCCCAAACACACAGTTATTTTCGTTACCGCTTCATAACTTCAATATGAATATGTGTTTTCCGATGGTCTTCGGAAGCCCTGTGAAAGGGTCTATAAAAACTATAGCCACAAAAACCAACCCCCTGTGCAAAAGTTTTAAAAAAAAAGAAAAATAAATACAGCCAACCAAGATTAGGAGAGGCTCTTCTGATAAAAGAAAGAAGACACTGTTCAGAGAAAGCCGAAAGGAATCCGGATCTTCGATGTATTTCCTTTCACCTAGAAACATTTCCAGAATTGGCATTTAGAAAGTTAGAATTTTTTAAGATGTAGCAAAAATATAAGAGGTATTGAAGTAAATGAAACATTATAGGATAAGTATTTTAGGATTATGTGAAACTAGATTCACCGGGGCTGCAAAAAGTGTTCTAAATTCAGGAGAAACTATTTTGTTCTCAGGACACACAGAGGAAAGTTCTCCCTACAGTGAAAAAGTGACCCTAATGCTATCGAAAGACATAGAAAAGACATTAATAGAATGGGAAGCTGTGAGTCATCGAGCAATAAGAGCGTCATTTAGAACAACAAAACAGAAGGTGAACATGTCAGTAATACAGTGTTATGCACCAACAAATGATAAGGATGCATCCATTAAGGAGGAATTTTACATGCAGCTCCAAAATATTATACACAATGAAAGAAATTGCAGTATAAAAATGTTGATTCTTTTTCTTTTGCTCTCCGAGCGCTTGAGGTTTATTGCTGCAGATATCACCCGCCTCCGTTCATCTCTCTGGTTGGCCTTCCCTTTCCAGTTAGTGACACCAAGTATTTGCAGGTCTGTCTGGGCGTTATCTCTCTATTGTCTTCTTGGTCTGCCTCGTGGTCTACGACCATTCATCTCCATTGTATTTCCAGTTTTTACCTCTCTGTCATCTAGCATTCTCTCAATATGCCCCAACCATTTCAGTCTATTAGCTCTCATGATGCCAGTGATTAATGGTGATTTAAACAGATTATGAATTGTGTTGTCGCTTCTCACTCTCTATTCCCCGCTATTTGCATCTTTGATGGGTGCTTGGATATCTGTTTCGTGACGAGATGAAGTTTAACGAAGGTGGGGGTGATAGTCCCACGCTTCAAAACCCCAACCTGGAGTCCTAGGGTGTCTCACTTGGTCTGTTCTCTACCCTTCGATCTTTCCGGCTTAGGAGTAGCTACGCTAGCGCCGGCAAAGCTCTCAGGATCGTTGAGAAACACAAGCTCCCCCACCACGGCAAGGTGGAGACACCTTCAGGGAAGATAAACATGCCGATGGGTAACCTAAATGCTAAGATTGGATCGATAACACAGGCTATGAAGAAATCATGAGAACTCATGGACTAGGAGTAATGAATGAAAGTAGAGAATTATTCACCAGTTTGTATTCAAGGAACCAGTATTTTAGCGGCGGAAGCATTTTCAGTTAGGAATTCGTTTTCATTTACAGTCTTTAATAAAAGTTGCAGTAGTTAGCTTAGGAAGTAAACAGCGAAGTCTGCTTATTCTAAACAAATCTGTTACTCAGTTTTGAGTTACATTATCTGCTGCCTTTAGCCTTTCGGCGGTAATTTCGCTATTTTCTGCTGCTCTATTGTTTGATAATGATGAATGGTTTTTCTCCCCTATTTCCATGTCATGTATTTGTCCTATATCAGCTCTTCCTCACTTAAATCAAAATCACAGTGCAAGTCATCCTTTCATCCATCCTTTAGCTTGGATGAAAGAAGTGGTCATCATCACCTGTGAGGGACGAACAACAACAATATCTGCTCTATATTTAATGGCAATATGGTCGTCTCAGACTCATCGTCAAAATGTGTTGGTTCTCGCAGACTAGCTCTATTTAAGGACTCTTGTGTGTGTTCTGCAAGCATGTACTATTTATACTATACTGGATCCAATCCGCGTTTTGAAAGTAGGTACTAGTTAACTGTGTGTACGTATGTATTCGCGGCATTCGTGGCTTAGGCGTTGCGAGTCCGACTCGTAATCCAGCATACCGAGACCGAAACCCACTGCTGGCTGCGAGGTTTTTATCATGGTATGGGGCGTCACAGGTCAACCCAGCCTAAAATGGGTAGCAGGATGGGCTGTCCTGGGAAAGCAAAGACAGCCGGTGTAATGCTGACCACATTACCCACCGAGTGCTGATGGTCTAAACAAATGGGCGCTCTTCCCATATGCCCGATACGCCTAAAGGCGTGGAAAGTGATCTTTAATTTACTTACATTACTTATGTATTTATCATCATCATCATCATCGCTGTCCTTTTGTGCCATTATATGACACATAGGACTCGTAGTTTATTTCTCCATTCCCTTCTATTATGTGAAATCAATTCACTATCATAGATGTAATCCTGTTAAGCACACTTGGCTTCTCTCATCATCGTTGTTTTAGGTTTTATTTTGGGCGTCCTCGCCTCCTTCGTACCTTTACTTCGTTTATTACACCCATATTTTGTGTAGTGATTATATTCACACTATATTTAACACTGTTAATCTTAAAAAGGTTATCGCAGCGTTGACAGAGAATGGCGGATGTGGAATTAACTAGAGAGGAGCTTGAAAGTACGTTTGAAAACCTAAGTTCTCTATGGTTTTGTCTGCATGTATGTCTGCCTGTCTGTTTGTTGTTGAATCTGTCAATCAGTGAGTTTGTGTTTATCTATTTTATACGTTGAGCAGATCTCACCTGTGTTTTAGTTTGCATTACCTTTTTTTCAGATCCTACCACTGTTTCTAGTTTACTTGACCGTTTTGCAGATGTAATTGGACTGTCTAGTTTTCGTGGCCAACTCACAGATTTCATCATTAAAAAGTGCGCCAGTTCCACAGAGTATGCAGAGTACCCCGCGGAAATAGTAGACACGCATATAAGTCAAGGGATAAGAACGGCTAGCATATGTTGCTGCAGCAAGTTGGTACCTTCACATTTCCAGTTAGGAGTGTTTCTAAATTTTACCATGACTTCCATGCCGTTCCGAAAAAGAAAAAAAAAGACAAGGAACATGTTAGAAAGTAAAGACGGGTGAAAATTATAATATATTATCAAAATTGTTTCGACTAGTGTGATAGAGACAATCACTGTTTTTTGTTCACATAATGAGAAAAGAAACATTTAAGAACATCGTGACAACTGGAAAGATCAGTGGGAAAAGGGGTTGAGGCAGACCAAGAGAGATGATGCCGGATGGGCTGACACGATTCCATGGAGGGATATCATCAAGACAGCTGTTTCAGGCAACCAGGGATGGTGATTTGTGGAGACGCATGAGTGCATGATACAGTTGGCAGGGCACATTATGATGATGATGAGTATAATAGAATCACACCAATGCTGAGATCGACTATGGGAGAGAACTTAAAAATTTTTTTATTGAATCAAAGAGGGGAAGAAAAGACGCTGATGCTGGATCAAATAAATACACGCCGAGAAAACCTGAAAACTCTATAACTAGAATATATTTGCACTGAAAGCAATATGAGCATAGAGAAAAGTCGCACACGCACACGGACACAGACGCACACACACACACACAGAGACACACACACACACAGACACAGACACACAGACACACACACAGACACACAGACACATAGGCACACACAGACACACACACACACAGACACACACACAGACACAGACTCACACACACACACACTACATACTGGAAAAGAGAGCAAGAGAATGAAGTCAATAGAGGACATGAAATGAGCTGTAAACAATATCAAAGAGAATAATGAATTGGCTTCTGTTGGCTGAGGTTTTATGCTCTATTGCACGTGCAGAAAAAGACAAGGGTTTCTGAAAGAACTACAAATGAGAAAAGAATAGCTGAAAGTGATTAAAAAAAGAGAGACGATTGAAATTCTTTGGCCACTTTAAAAGACATAACACGCCTTTGAAAACCATACTGGAGGGAAATGTCAAAAACAAGAGAACTAAAGATAGGCAACGATACAAGTGGGAGAACAATATCAAGAGATGGATAAGCAGCAGCCTGAGAGAGTATACAATCAAGAAAAGAGACAGAGAGTGTTGGAGATCCATTGTAACCAACCTTCACTGTGATTGACAGAGAAGAAGAAGTAATGTCGACGGGTCTATAATGAAAACGAAAAGGAACCAACATGGTCGATTCACAGTACGGTATGGAGACACGGGCCCTGTACCTCAAAAGACTTCTATATATGTTTAAGAATAAAATAATGAGATGTCTCGTGAAACTAAAATAGTTTATATCGGAGTGCCTAAGATAAAATGCCAGTATCATTTTTCAGAATACTCTAAGAGATGTAAAGTCAAAAGGATAAACTGACTGACTGACTGACTGACTCTGTATCCCACCAGGACATCACACAAGCGATAAACACCCGATGACACAGTGCCACCATGTGGGTGAGGATCACCGTGGAGAGGTCTCAAAAACCGCGTTCAGACTCTAGGCCATTTTTATGGCCAGGCTATTTTGCGGCCCCTAGCAAAAGACCAGAGTAGGGCTTCAAATAACGAAAAATTTCATCCCAAAACGGACGATAAGTAATTGAATATCATATATATAAGGATAAACTTCATTGCATCGGCTTTTATCCTCCATGGTTCTCTCCACAGCAGAGCTAGCTGCCCGCTTGGCACAAAGTAACTCCGTAACTCGAAAATGATCCCGACCGTCTCAACAAAACATCATTGACATTGACGAAGTAAACCATCAAGAAGCTCGACCCTCAGGTGGCAAGGCAATGTGACTTAATCCCTTTCGACCGAGACATCTCAATCATTCCATCACAACAACTCTAGTGCTATTTTTGTTAACTGGTGCTGGCCAGCAGAAATTTTCTGGCAGTCCGCTAAATATTTTCTACCTAAACACATGGATGCTATTGCAGCTCGCTGCAAAAACAACAACATTCCAGCTACGTGTGTCACATTTTTTAAAACCTTTTAGCAGCATTAGATGTCTCATTAGCTACAAATCATAATTTAATAACACTAGATTCCTCTTTTGTCTATATCTGGAATGCCTCGCGGCGTCAGGAAAGGAAGAGATCTATGGAACAGGCCCTTCTGTTTGCTTGGCATAAAGTACTTTTCAGTGTCTTTGATATTTCTGCTGTCCATGTTCTGTGTGATCGACCTCTGGATCTGTTACCGTTTTATCTGCACAACATTGTTCTCTGTGGTGCCCTGTCTGATGCCAGTCTTGTTATATGGCTAAACCATTTTGATTTGTTGTCTACCTATACATTTTAATACTGGTTCTGTGCCTACTCTTCTCTTGAAATCATCAACCCTAAGTCGATCTTTCCTCGTTTCACCTAGCATTGTACGTGAACATTTCATTTCTGTCGTGACTATTTTCCTTCTGACTTCTGAAGAGACAATTGAAATACTTTGGCAACTTTAAAAGACATAACACGCCTTTGAAAACCATACTGGAGGGAAATGTCAAAAGCAAGAGAACTAAAGATAGGCAACGATACAAGTGGGAGAACAATATCAAGAGATGGATAAGCAGCAGCCTGAGAGAGTATGCAATCAAGAAAAGAGACAGAGAGTGTTGGAGATCCATTGCAGCCAACCTTCACTGTGATTGACTGAGAAAAAAAAAATAATGTCGACTGGTCTATAATGAATGCGAAACGTTTGACATTGATAGCACAGCGTTGGTAAGAATATTGTGTTGAACTGTAACACTAGATTTAGTAAGTAAACGTAAAGGACTCTTTTCCACCAATGGATAATGGGGCATATGATGCTAGACTCATATTTTGCAATAGACCAATCGGTTGATGAGGTTCATATCTCACCTGCACAAGGAATTTGAATTAACAAATGCTTCCTGTGTGTGCATTTGTTTCCGGCTTTGCCATATACCTGTCCGTGACATATTTTCACTGTTTGCATGTGTGAATACAGTAACGAACAGTTTCATTTTGTGTAATTCAATACTAGGCACCTAAAGAAACACAAAAAAAATACGATAATTCATTTGGAAATTTGTTTTTCTGTCTATTCTTCGCGTCCCGACGAGTCGGACTGTTTTCCAAAAATGACCTTGACTCCCAGGTCTACCCAGCCTTGAGTGTGTACCAGGTGCAGTCCTGGAAAGTAAAGGCGGCTGACCACATTACTCACCAAGTTTCTATTGGCCTTTAAAAAAATAGGTCTAGCCATATATTCCCAATACAACTAAAGGCATGGAATAAAGCACCTTTAATGTTTATATCTTTATTCAAATCTTTCAAAGGAGAGTAATTGTTTTGATATATCGAAATAGTCCCTTGGCAGACTCTAAAAATGACCTACAAGAAACATGGCACACTCCCTGTGGGGCCGTCCTGACCATGCTGAGAACCGTTTATTTAGATGATAACCTACTGGTAATCTAGCAAACTCGGATGTCTGTGGGTCTCTGGTAGTCTGTTTTCAGACGCGATAGGTAACGACCAGAGATGAAAGATAGGATGTTTACCAAACAAAACAAAAACAGTATCTTCTCACCCATTTGTTTATAGCAAAAGTTAAAGATGGCCCTACATTTGTACCCTTCTCTGGTCTGAAGATGCCTTTATCCCTGCCATATGCACCGCAAACATGAGGCCCCCCCCCCCCCCCCCGTTTTTTTTTTTTTTTTGGGGGGGGGGGGTGTCTGACCGGGGTAGGGAAGACTGAACCACAAAACCCAAATGCAATATCAGCGTCCAGATGTTTAATTCTGTCCCACATGTTTTCTTTTAATATTTCTGCAGCAACCTCATACATAAAGAAAATTTAATATCCCATCCAGATCCCCACAAGCCCGCCCCCCCCCCCCCCACCCCCCCCCCCCCCCCCCCCCCCCCCCCCCCCCCCCCATTACCAGTTTTTTTTTTTAAATCTCTGGAAGAGCCAAGAAACCTAGTAGTAGGGACATTCTGTTCAAAAGCTACAAGATAAGAACATATTTCAGAGATCATCCGGGAAAGGGCACATATTTTACTTGATCTGGCTGCATTTTTTTGCTCTCGGTCTAGACGCTGGTCTGTTTGATTCTATCTTGTTCTGGAAGATTTTAACATTTGTTTATCAAATGTAATTCGTGTGAACTCGTGTTAGCAGGAGGAATTTCACTCAAAAAATTCTGAAAATTATTGTAGATTGGCACGTTTTCGTTTGAGTGGTTGAGCTAGTGGAAACCACTGGGTGATGAATTGATACATCTTCTTCTTCTTCGCGTTTACCAGCTGTAAACTCTGGTGATAAGTTATGGCTGTTCGTCCACTTCTGGACTACAGTTCTGTTCCAGAAACTGCGTGTTGCATGTACATCCGCTTGACAGATCTGACACATTTGTGTGCAGACTGTTAGCTCCTTACCTCGAAGGAAGCTCCCAATTAGTCGACTCTTACGACATGCTCCTGGGTAGGCAGTGGGTCTAAACTTGTTTTCCTTATTATCAGGCCCCAGAACCCATACAGGAGAATTGATACACGACAAAACAGATGTGAAATCAGTAGAGAAACAATATTATTATTTCCTGGAGAGAATGAGGCACCTGGGTGTAACCAGAGGGTCAGGCCAGCCCACTACACTCAAAGAAAAGGCAAGATGGACATATAACCAGATTGTGACCGGTACCATCAGCCAGTATTAGAACTCTGCGCTGGCTGCTGAAGATGAAGACAGAGCATGCATGGGAATGCCCCGAGCGCTGTGATATCAGTACTTGACACAACTCAACTCAGCTAGTCGAAAGGAAGTTTATGCCGGGTATAGAGCCGTATTACTTCTCAATACAATGTGCAGTGAGACTTTTCAATCACCCTATAGATTCTGAGGGTGGTGTCAGGTTCTTACGTAGAGCATTCTCAAAGTGATAAGGACATTGCAGACACCACTGCATTCCCAGATCATCATTGCCATCAGCATCTTCATCACTGACATCATCATTTTTTACTTCTTCTTCGTCGTCGTCTTCTTCTTCTTTTTCTTCTTCTGCTTCTTCTTCTTCTTCTTCTTCTTCTTCTTCTTCTTCTTCTTCTTCTTCTTCTTCTTCTTCTTCTTCTTCTTCTTCTTCTTCTTCTTCTTCTCTTCTTCTTCTTCTTCTTCTTCTTCTTCTTCTTCTTCTTCTTCTTCTTCTTCTTCTTCTTCTTTCTTCTTCTTCTTCTTCTTCTTCTTCTTCTTCTTCTTCTTCTTCTTCTTCTTCTTCTTCTTCTTCTTCTTCTTCTTCTTCTTCTTCTTCTTCTTCTTCTTCTTCTTCTTCTTCTTCTTCTTCTTCTTCTTCTTCTTCTTCTTCTTCTTCTTCTTCTTCTTTCTTCTTCTTCTTCTTCTTCTTCTTCTTCTTCTTCTTCTTCTTCTTCTTCTTCTTCTTCTTCTTCTTCTTCTTCTTCTTCTTCTTCTTCTTCTTCTTCTTCTTCTTCTTCTTCTTCTTCTTCTTCTTCTTCTTCTTCTCTTCTTCTTCTTCTTCTTCTTCTTCTTCTTCTTCTTCTTCTTCTTCTTCTTCTTCTTCTTCTTCTTCTTCTTCTTCTTCTTCTTCTTCTTCTTCTTCTTCTTCTTCTTCTTCTTCTTCTTCTTCTTCTTCTTCTTCTTCTTCTTCTTCTTCTTCTTCTTCTTCTTCTTCTTCTTCTTCTTCTTCTTCTTCTTCTTCTGCCTCGTCTTCTCTACTACTACAACTTCTGCTGTTAACAACAATTAGGTATAACCACCAAGCATTACAGAATCAGCAGCAGCATACACAAACACAAAAAACAATACTTCAGTTTCTACTACTATAATTACAGCTACTTCACATAATGTCGCTATTATAACTCTGCTACTATTTCTGCTACCACGCTAGTACTACAAGTACCACCAACACCACAACTAATATTATTATTACTACAGCTACTACTATTAATACAACAAATACTACTATTACTACTAATAGTCGTCCCTACTGCTTCTACTACTGCAGCTGCTGCTGCTGCTACCACTATAAATATTACAGATGCTACTACTACTATTACTACTACTGCTACTGCTATTACCGGTCCTATTACTACTTCTACTACTACTATTACTAACTCAGTTACAACTATAAATACTGATACTGCAACATTTAAGGAAATAGAGTCACAATAATAATTAATTACTCTCAAAGGAAGCATGGTTGTTCCTGTAAACACAATGTTTCTGTCTGTAAACACAACGTTTATCTCTGTTAACACAATGTTTCTGCTGCTAACACAATGTTTATCTCTGTTAACACATTGTTTCTGTCTGTTAACACAATGTTTCGGTCTGATAACACAATGTTTCTGTTGACCTCAGACGTTCAGGATGTATTTGATCTCTTTGACTTCTGGGACGGCAGAGATGGCTTTATTGATGCTGTCAAAGTCGGGGACATGCTGAGGTGCGTGGATCTGAACCCCACCCTAGCAAACATCAAGTCTTGGGGCGGAACTGACAAGCCGGGTAATATACTTGGGTTTCCATATCCACATAAATAAATGCGTTAATAGCTATAGCGTAGATCTGATCTGTTTGCCCCGGCTGTCTCTGTCTTTTTCTCCATATCTGTCTCTCTCTCCCTCTCTGTGTCTTTCTATGTTTATCTTTCTATATATCTCTGTCTCTTTCTCTCTCACTGTCTCTTTCTCTCTCGCTCTCTCTGTCTCTTTGTATATATATCTCTCTCCTCCCTAGCTGTGTATGTGTGTGCGTGTTGATTACTTGATTCTTTGGTTCCTTTTGACAGCTATCACTTAAAGTCTCTGTCTGTTTATTATTCTACCTCTCTCTCTCTCTCTCTTTCTCTCTCTCTCTTTCTCTTTCTTTCTATGTGTCTCTCTCATGACAGGTCTCTATTCTACTCTCTCTCTCTCTATCTATCTCTCTCTATCTCTCTCTATCTCTCTCTGTCTTTATCTCTCTCTCTCTATCTATCTATCTATCTCTATCTCTCTCTCTCTATCTCTCTCTCTATCTCTCTTTCTATCTCTCTTTCTATCTCTCTCTGTCTCTCTCTTCTCTCTCTATCTCTCTCTATCTCTCTCTATCTCTCTCTATCTCTCTCTATCTCTCTGTCTCTCTATCTCTCTCTATCTCTCTCTCTGTCTTTATCTCTTTCTCTCTCTCTATCTCTCTCTATCTCTCTCTATCTATCTCGCTATCTCTCTATCTCTCTATCTCTGCCTGTATCTCTTTCTCTCTCTCTCTCTATCTCTCTCTATCTCTCTATCTCTCTCTATCTCTCTCTATCTCTCTCTATCTTTCTCTCTATCTCTCTATCTCTCTATCTCCCTCTCTCTCTCTATCTATCTCTCTCTCTCTCTGCCTTTATCTCTTTCTCTCTCTCTCTCTATCTCTCTCTCTCTGCCTTTATCTCTTTCTCTCTCTCTCTCTATCTCTCTCTATCTCTCTCTATCTCTCTCTCTCTATATCTCTCTCTTTCTCTTTATCTCTCTGTCTTTATCTCTCTCTCTCTCTCATGAGAAGACCAAACCATTTAGAATGCAGTCAGGACCAGGGACACCAGAACCTAGGAATTCCAGCACCTTGAACCCCACCCCCACATCTTTTCAGAAGAGGCAGTGCCCTCCCCACCCCAAACATGAATAGAAATGATCTTGTTAGATTTGTGTTTATACATTTCATATTATTTCAAATATGTTATTACGCTTATTCGTCAGTCTGCAGATTGTTGTCATTACTGTTTATCAAATTATTATTATACGCTTAAGCAAGGCTTGGGAGCCCTTACCCTCTCTTCCCCCCCCCCTCCTCTAGAAGGCACGTGTGTGTATGTGTGTGTGCATCAACTATCAACACGACGCCCAAGCTAACAATAAAGTGACGTATCCAGAACATACTACATACAGTAGCGCAATAAGGTTGGTACAGACCGACCCGGGTGTCACTGATTCGGGGGAGCGGAAGGCGGTAACAAAATGGTAAAAATATGTATTTTAACATTAAAATATATGTGGCTGGAAAAGGGGGAGGGGGCGTTCGGGAAGGTGCGCGCGACATTTAATTTTCCGCACCGGGCATCACATGACTTTGCTACGCCACTATCTACCATCATCATCAGGTGCCTTGCCGACTGGCGTGGGCGATCATGCCTCTCCATAATCTGCGATCTCCTGCAGCATGTATCAGTTCGTGTCCTGACACACCTCCATGCCATGCAACAAGACTGTCAAGCATCTTCTCTTGTTTTCTTCCTCTATCTCTCCTTCCACATATCTTTCCAGTTTTCACAACATGTTCTATTTTCCCTCTTCTCATAACATGGCCGAAAAATGATGACTGTCTCCTTCTGATGTCTGTGATAAGTTGTCTTCTGGCTCCCGCGTTTTTCAAAACCTCTAGGTTGCTCTTTTTGACTGTCCAAGGTATTCTAAGCATTCTTCTGTAAAACCACATCTCCGAGGCCTCCAGAAAATGTTTGGCCTGCCTACTGATTGTCCGGGATTCACAGCCATATGTTAAAACTGGATGCATGTAGCAAGCAAGAATTCTTTTTCTAACTCTCAATGACAAGGATATATTGCGCAAGATGTTTTTCATTCTATAAAATACAGTTTTTGCCTGTCCTATTATTTTTCTTATCTCAGTTATGCATCTTCCATCTGATGTTATCCATGTGCCCAGATACTTAAATTTCTGTACTTGTCCTAAAAATAACACAATCAACTTTTATTACACACTTAGGAATAATTCGTTTTTTTTAATACCACAATTACTTCTGTCTTCTCATTATTTAAACTGAGGCACATTCTTCCACTTTCTAACACCACAATGTCTATCATTTCCTGTAGTTCTTTCTGATTTGTTGCAATCAAGACTGTGTCATCAGCATAACGTAAATTGTTTATATTGTCCCCACCAACCACAATTCCTGGCATACCAATTAAAGCTCTCATTATATATTCACTCTATAATAAAAACAAATCAGGTGACATTGCACATCCTTGCCGTACGCCCCTCTTTATGCTTTGAAATGTACCTAAACAGTTGTTAGCTGCTGTTTGCTGCCAATACATATTCTTTATTATTCGTAGATTTTTCCCATCAATGTTTAATTTTTCTAACAGTTTGATTACTTCTTCATGCTTCACACAGTCAAATGCTTTTGTATAGTCTATGAAGCATATGTACAAATCAGTCTTTACATCTATAGCTCTTTCTAACAAAATCCGTAGGATGTATATGGCATTGTTTGTACCTTTTCCTTCTACAAATCCACATTGTTCATCGCTGATTTCTGGTTTAATTTTGTTTTTTATTCTTCTCATAATTTTTCTCAGTAAAATCTTAATCATGTGACTCGTAAGACTTATTGTGCGATGGTCTTCACATTTTATAGTGCCTGTTTTCTTAGGTAGAGCTATAAATATGGATTTTAATAGGTCATTTGAATTATACCCACTATTATAAATATCATTTAAACGTTTAGTTATTATTTCAATTCCAAAATCTCCCAGTGCTTCGATTTCTTCCAGTGACATGTTATCTGGTCCGGGTGCTTTTCCTTTCTTCATATGATGTATTGCATCCTCAATTTCTGCAGTCATTATTGCTGGACTATCATTGTTGGTCTGCAGTTCTATATCTTGTCTATTATCATCATACAATTCCCCTATATACTCTGTCCATCTGTTAATTATATTACTATGTCCCATTAATAGGTCACCATCTTTTGATTTCAAACATCCAGTGCTGTTACGTGTCATCTTTCCTGTTAACATATTAATCTTTTGGTACATAGAATGTGAGTATTTCCTGTTGTTTTCCACAATCTCTGTACACATTTGATTCAGCAAGGCTTCTTTAGCCACTTTGCATTTGTTCACTATTTCTTTTTGTTTTCTAGAGTATTCTTCTTTATCATTCTTTTTCTTCCTTCTTTCATCCATCAACTGCAGAATTTCGGTTGACATCCATTTCTTTTTTGCAACTCTATGGGTTCGTGGGATTGTCTCTTTAGATGTCTGCTGAATTGACTCACGCAACATATCCCACTGTTCATCAATAGTCTGTATAATTTCCATTGCATTATACCGGTTTTGTACAGTGACATTGTACTGGTCCTTAATTTCTTTATCCGTTCTAAGAATTCCTAAATTTAACTTGATGTTCTGTGGTGTTTTTCTAATGTTCTTTAGTTTTATTCTAATTTTTCCTACAACTGGAACATGGTAACTAAAGCAGTCTGCTCCTGGTCTAGTTTTTGCTACAACTAATCCGGTCCTGAATCTTCTTGAAATCAAAATATAATCAATCTGATTGCGGACATTATCACCAGGACTTTTCCAAGTCCACAATCTTTGAGGACGGTGTTTAAACCAGGTGTTATCTATTATCATGCTGCGTGACTCAGCCCATGCTATTAATCTGTCACCTCTCACATTCTTTTCTCCTAGGCCATAGCCACCCGTTATTCCGTACACGTTTTCACTTTCTATTTTCGCGTTTAAATCTCCAAGTACCATTGTTACTTCACAATTTTTGCATTGATCAACAGCCATGTCTAACTCATCAGAAAATGCGTCAATATCTTCCTCTGAACTATCTGCTGTTGGGGCATAAATCTGTACTAAGTTGATGTCAAACGGTCTGCCACGAAGTTTTACTAATAGTACTCTATCTGATATCGTTAAAAATCCTTCCACAGTTTTTGAGTTCTTCTGATCCAAAATAATACCAACTCCCTTACTATATTCCTTCCAACCAGAGTAAATAATTCTGTACTGATCTGAATATTTTTCACCTGCTCCTGGCCATCGCATTTCTATAATGTCACTATCTACATCCACGTTGAATGACCATTGACTGCGCAACCCATCGAGCGCTAGACCTTAGACTGCTGCTTTCCGCTAAGCCTTGCCGTAAAGTGTGGGAGTTGACAGTGGCAATGACAATGATTGTTTAGGGCGAAATGACATATATATGTGCCCATCATTGAAAATCAGGTTTGTTGTGGCTGGGCAGCTAAGACTTTGTGGGGACTTTGATTTCATCTGTAGTTTACTTATTTCTAAAAACAATCTTCTTCTTAGTTTTATCAGTTATTCCCCATCTCTGCCTTCCGCTTGCTTGAGAATCAGATGTACACACCATAACGGGATTGTAAGTGACTCACCAGCATGTTGAGAAACGTGAGAACAGGCATGCTTCGTGCAGAGTGGCAAGCATAACTTCAGAGTTCCCGCATCCTTGAGATATTTATTCTACTAATGCCGGTGTGTTGGGAAATAAGCAGGCAGATAGACTGGCTGGGTCAGCATCACTTGGTGGTGAATTGATGTATGACACGTTAGATATTGTGAGGGCACTTTGGGAGCGAGTAAACAGTGCGGAGGCGCAGATAGAGCATTACGGTCTGATGAAACTGGCGCTCCGAGGAGTTACCAGGAAATCTGGCTGACGCTCAACACTTATGGAAAGGATGAGGCGGATATACAATCAGACGGTTACTTGTACCATCGGAATTGGGACTCTTCGCTTGCTGCTGAAGATGGGGACTGAGCACTTATGGAAGTGTCCTGAGTGATGTGATGTCGATCCTAATTCAGTATTCAACATGCAATATCCCAGTCACTGGATATATCCATCTTCTCCTTCGTTCATCCATCTCTGTTGATTTTTTTCCCCTTTTTCTTTCCCCCCTTTCAGCCCTAGACAGCAATGATACTATTTCAGTAGACTATCATCCTCATAGAGTTCCTTACCAGTTGGCGTAGGCATTCATACATCTCCACAGATCTCGTTCTTTGGTGTTCTGGACCAACTCCACTGATGATATTCCTCCACGCCACTGTCTTATGCCATCCAACATCGTTTCTCTTGGTATACCTCTGCCTTTTCTACCAGTCATCAGTAGACGATGACAAACGCAAATACTTTGTCCCCCCAGGTGAAAAGCAGTTATCCTACGAAGAGTTCCTGGCTATCTACAAGCAGACGAAGAATGTGAAGGAATGGGGGACATTTAGAGATTTCGAAGAAGCCTTTAAATCTTTTGACCGTGAAGGTCAGGGCTACATAAGTGCTGCAGAAATGAGGCATCTTTTGACGGCAATGGGTATATATGTTATGCTGTTTTGTCTTTCTCTATTGATATTTGTGTACTCTCTCTCTCTCTCTCCTATTTCCATCTTTCTCTTTCTTTCTGTCTCTCTCTCTCTTTTAATCCCCTACTCTCTCTTTCCCTCTCTTGCTTGCTCGCTCGCTCGCTATCCGTTCAATGGTCGAGTTTTATAAAGTGAGCTAAACAAATTCCAACGTTATGAAGTGATGGAAAGACGATAGACTTGCATATGATACACACTTAGAAAACATTGTAATAGTCTAAAAATATTGTCCTTTCGCTGGAACCTAAAGCAAGTTAAAGAATTTAAATATCTAGGAAGTATACTCTCGGATGATGGAAGAATAGATCGGGAAATAGAAACAAGATGCCAACGAGCCTGTGCACATATAGACGAACTGACACTGTTATTGAGATATCCAAACATAAGTATGAGCGCCAAGGAATATGTTATAAACAACATTTTCACACCAACACCGTGCTACCAGTGCCAAACTTGGACATTATTAAAAACCAACCTGCTAAAATTAACACATGTGAAAGGAGATGCATGAGAATAGCCGCCAACTTAAAAATTCGAGACAAAAGTTAGAAAGGATGTTATCGGTCAGACTGTAGGAACAATACCTTGCAGCAAATTCATTGAGAAACTGAAGATCAAGTGGTTTGATCATTTAGGTGGAATGCAGCTAGAACAACTACCAATGCAGGGGCTAAACATGAAAGTATCTGAAGTGAAAGCAAGAGGCTGCCCTAAGAAAATATGGACTGATGACATTAAAGAGCTTCTACATCGACACAGAATGACAGTAGCTACTGCTGCCCATCAAACAATGGATCGCTAACTGTTCCACCCCACAACGCTTAACGGCAGAAGTGGAAATTGTTGAACTGAACTGGAACCTACAGGGCAATAATCCATAAAGACATAAACACAGTAGTAAAAGAAATATAGGTAAAGATGACTAACATCAAGTCAAGATAGAAGAATCTGCAGAAAATTTTTACAAGATATACAGCTTTACAGTTCAATCTCAACTTGGAGCTAAAGGACCGAAGCAAAAGGGGTACCCATTGTGTTTATGCTGCTCTAACATTAAAAAGAATAAATACATTCATCAGGGGACAGTGCAGCAAAACAGAATGTCTGCATCTGGATTAAGTGGGGCGTGAGCGATTGATTTGGACATAGGCGCCGACGCAAAGAAAACATGGGGTCTCAAGTGGCCTTATCCTTGGTTGCGTGATTGAAAATACAAATTGAAAACAATAATAATTATTATTATTAGGACAAAAATATTTTTTTTTTAATATCCAAAAAACCATGAGTTCTTAACCCTTTGGTTAGGTACTATGGATATCGCAACCCTTTGGCGTTGTTTCATGATAAATACCGTAAATTTGGGAGAAATGGGGCTTTTTTGCCTACCCCCGGGCGTGAACCCGGACCACATGGAGTTCGTCACCCGGTCGTCGAGAAGTCAGGTTTAGCCAACTACGCTAGCGGGCCGGGAAAGGAAACAATATAAATAATATGTTTGAAATAAATTGGCGTGCATAAAAAAAAAAATAATTACAAGAGAACTTAATTGTATGATTGAGCCTGGAGGCAGAGAAGATTGCTCAGCCCTTGAACAAATTTTCGTTTAAAGTAACTAATCCGCCCCCCCCCCCCACCGCCCCCTCCTAGGTTCTGGTACCTCCTGGAGCTGGACAGTTTCACACCCAGAGAAGGACATCCCAGTGTGTGTGACTTCTTCCTTGACCGCCGAGGAAGGGTCTGCATGCAGTCAGCGCCGTCTTATCGCATGGGCCCACTGAGCACTTGTTGTAGGCATCAGGAGGACAGGGGCCTCATGAAATTATGTATATGTAAATTGACTTGCCGTAAATAAAAATATAAATCCTTTGAGTGCAGTGATGTCAGTTAATTAATTATTTAATTCACTGACTATATTTTCATTCATAAATCAATACACAATGAAGTGTATCTATTCTTGAATAGCTGAAAGGCTTTCTGATGAGGATGTTGACGAAATCATCAAGCTGACCGATCTCACAATTGACTTGGAAGGCAACGTCAAATACGAGGGTGAGTTATCTTCAGCTGATGAATACAGCGCTATTATTTTTCAATCAGTTAGTCAGTAGCATGTCCTTTTAGGAACCTTGCTCGCATAACAACCCTCCGGAAAACTTCTCTATCACAAGCAAGATGCCCCGCGTCCGAAACACCCATCTGGAGATCATTCGCTACATCCTGCATCCACCTTCTCTTTATCCTTCGTCTTTCTCTCCTGCTTGGCATTACCAATTACATATATTTTGTTCTTCAATACATAAGTTTAAAATCCGAAGAATCATGTTCATTACTCCTGATTGTGTCATATGGCTCAGTCACTCAGCAGCACTCTCAACTACCTGCCGATAGCGTCACACAAAGCACTAGTCGCTTAACTTTAGTGACGACCTCCAAGTATCTCCGTAGAAATTGTAGTCGTGAACAGAAAGACGCTTCTGTAAAACGAATCCACGACTATCACAGAGCGGTACATGAATCAAACAAAACCCCACGAATACACAAAAATCAAGTAACTGACGTATCCCGAAGCAGCCATAGCAATGTCTTGCCAGTGAAATTATAAAACCACATCCTTACCTCTCTACATAATTTTGGCTCTTTGCCTAACTGTCCATGATAAACTTTAGTATATCAGGAAAAGATTTATACAGCTCTTGAGAATTCTGTTTCTCGACTCAGTTGACGAAGCAGGATTGAATAGAATGCTCTTAATTTATGATAGAGGTATGCACAAGGAACTGCGTGTCTAATAAGTTCATCGGTTTGCCCAGGTTTGATGATTGTTGGTTCGATTCACAGACTATCTTTTGATTTACGGGGGCAGTTTTTGCAGAGAATCCAGAGGATCGTCTCTGGATCTATGGAATTCCTGCTTTGTTCGACGCTCTGGGAGAGGCACTAAGCCAAATGGAATAAAATATAGTGACTGAAAGTTCGATCCACTAGATTTTTAACCCTTTTTTTTTTTTAAATACTTGTTTAAACTTCAAGGTGCGAAAGTGCTCCAAATGACATCTTAGACTTTATTTCTACCATTTAATGTTTCAATAGGAAATTATAGGTCATGTTTCGTGCTCAGTTAATATATTTCTCCTAGTCTTCGGCAGTTTTGTTCCTAGCCTTTAACATTTTAAATCGTGTTTCATTGTCTTCGACAATCTTCGTCCTAGTCTTTAACATTTTAAATCATGTTTCATAGTCTTCGACAATCTATGTCATAGTCTTTGGCATTCTAAGTCGTGTTTCCTATAGTTCAACAATCTTTCTCCTAGTCATTAACATTCTAAGCCGCGTGTCCTAGTTTTTAACATTCTTTGCAATTTGTTCTAGTCAATGACAAGTGTGCTCTCTTACTGACAATTCGAATCTTAGGAACATTCTGTGTCCAACGCCCTAGTTAATCACAATTCAAGTCCTCTTATCCTTGTGCCACAGTCATTGGTATTATGTGTCCTAGTCAATGTTCCAAATGTTCCTGTTCTGTTCGGATGGTTCACAACTTGTACAATTGTATATATCATTTTGTTCCCGAGCTTCACAACTAATATTATGTTCATTACTTCGTTCCATATAGTATGTGTGTAAGTTGTACCCCACCAGGACATCACATAAAGCGATAAACAGCCGGTAACACAAAGTTCCATATTTATGGCCCGGTTAAATTTAAGGCCCCGGAAAAAAGCCAGGATGGGGCTTCAAATAACCAACAATTGCACCCCACGTGGGAACGGCTGAAGTTTAACTCTTCGAGTCCCAGGGGGTTTAGCATCAGAGACCCAAGGTGTAGTCAAAAGAGATGTAAAATCGGCGCATCTTGCGTTCTTTGGGACTCTAGGCGGGAACCTATGAACGTATGATGCGTTCCATGGGACTCAAATAGTTAATTACTGCTTCGTTTCCAAGTTTCAGTGCTTACATTTGCTCCCAAAGAATATTACAATATAAGGTAACTAATTTCTTTCTTTATAACTCTAGATCCATGATACTTTAAGCAATGTAAATTATTTTACCTACAGAACCATACCATTTCAAATAATGTACACCCTCTTGTCAGTATAATCATACCACATAAGATCCCTGTATAGGTGTCTGGGCCCCATTGTGGGGAAGGGGGGGACATGAATAGACCCCCATAAAGCATGTCGACTAATTTGCACCGTTTTTCGAAAACTGAGTGCATCTGCGCGAGCCTCAAGGAACAACCAACTACACACAAATAAGTCGGTAACACGTATGTACATGCAGAACTCAGGGCCTGACATAAAGCCAAAGTCCAAATGGACGAACAACCAGGATTTTCCGCTGGAAATTACAGCCGGTGAGCAAAGAAGAAGAAGAAGAAACCACTCAAAGTAATTTACACCATTTAACCACACCACCCCTAATACAAATAATTCGAACTAGTTGCTTATCAGCAGTAGTCGTAACAGTTGAATTAACTAATACACAGTACTCAATGGGGGAAAATTCATGATTCCATTACGATTATTTTCAGATTTTATCAACAAAGTTCTGGAAGGTCCTAAACTGTAAATGGTGCAGACTCAGCTGTCAAGACGTTACAACGAAATGAAATTAGTAAATGTATAATGTGTCTCCATACATGTTAACATTAGCTGTTATTTGCCCAACTATGATTAGCTCTTTCAGTACCAATGAACTCACTATGCGTTGATTGATTTTACTGGTCTACACACATTTAGGTGCCTTAAATTGTATAGCTGTTATTGAGTAATTTTGTGTTGCTAATTGAAAAATTACATTACGCATTATAATAAAGAAAAGTATTGAATCGAAAAACAATATACCTAGAATGTTTTTGCACTGGAACCAACAGGGGCATAGAACTAAAAACAGAATACATGGAGAAAGAAGCAAGAGTGTGAAGTTAAAAAGATGGGAGAGCTGCGTGCAATAATGTGTTTTTAGGACACGGAAGAGCTGCGTGCAATAATGTGTTTCTATCAGCTGTAGTTTTGAGATACAGGCATTTGTGTATATAATTACAACAATATTACAGTATTTTCTGTGCAAAGATTTAATTTTTTTTTTGAAACGGAGTATCTCAAAACTAGAGCTGACAGAAAAATATGATTACAATTTTGGAACCTGTAAAACACAAAATTATAACAGCTATAAAGGCATCAGAATGTATGTAGACCAGTTAAGTTTTGTTAAACATTATGAGGCGATGAACCAACAGTCTGCACACAAAAGCCAAATTTGTAAAATGGGAAAAAATGCAAACAGCTAGAACTTTCCACCGGAGTTTACAGCCAGGGAAAGGTTAAAGTCGAGAGGATCCCAAAAAGCATTTCTCGGCAGAAGGTACGAACACCGTAACTCTAGAGACGATCCCCAAGGGTCTTTGTATAAAAACTGCACTAGTGAACTGAACTACGCAGCAGTAAAACGAACCCACTACCGTCTGGGCGGGAAGCAAACAGCTTGACCACTTCGCCACGGTGGTCCACCAGGAACAGCAGGTGAATTCAGGAAGATAGAGAGAGAGAGAGAGAGAGAGAGAGAGAGAGGGAGAGAGAGAGGGGGGAGAGAGGGGGAGAGAGAGAAGTTTTTAGTTTGAACAACGGATAAACATCATAGCACACGGTTAGTAACCCATAAGTGCACCGTTCTTCTTCTAACTTCTAAGTCTGAGTCGGAAGAAGCTCAGCTCGGTGCACACAGGTTTTGTAGCACTGGTGAGAGAGGGAGGGGGAGAGAGATAGATAGATAGAGAGAATCATTGTTTATCCATGTTGATTGCATGTTTTTCTGTTATGATAAACACTGGAAGATGGAGCCGCTGTGGTGTTGAGGCTAGACACTGGACTGCGGATCAGAAGGTCGTGGGTTCAGGTCCTAGGGGTGGCCAGACGTTTTTTCATTTTTTTTAAAATTACCTTGTAGGTCGACCCAACCTTGAGTGGGTACCAGGTGGAGACCTGGGAAGTAAAGGCGGCAGGCGGGATGCTGACCACAGGTCCCACTAAGTGCCGATTTGTCTAGAAAATATCGGTCTAGCCTTATATGCCCAGTACACCTGAAGATGTGCAAAAGAGTCCTTTACACTCTGAAAGTCGTTGTAGTTTGTCCACGGCTTTCTGTCGCGTGTACTTACAGTCATCCCTGGCACATACGCCAAGCTGTTGAACATCTTCTATCTTGTTCTTCTTTTGCTTCTCGTTCCCTCGATTGAACCACTATCATTATGTGCTCCCGTTTTCGTCTTCATACGATGTAAACAAATGACTGACTGACTGACTTTCTACCCCATCAGGGCATCACACAAGCGATAAACACCCAAGGACACAATGTGCCACTATGTGGATGAGGATCGCCGTGTAGAGTTCCCAGAAACCGCGTTCAGCCTTTAGGCCATATTTATGGCCATGTTATATTGCGGCCGCCGGCAAGAGCCAGAGTAGGGCTTCAAAAAAAAAAAAAATTTAATCCTAGAAAGGACAGGAAGTATTTGATGTGTGAAAAAATGACTGACTGACTTTCTACCCCACCAGGACATGACACAATGTGCCACCATTTGGGTGAGGATCACCGTGGAGAGGTCCCAGAAACCGCGTTCAGCCTTTAGGCCATATTTATGCCAGGCTATATTGCGACCCCTGGCAAGAGCCAGTGCAGGGCTTCAAATAACGAAAAATTTATCCTGAAAAGCATGAGCAATAAGCTACTGTGTGTGAACAAATAAAATATATTGTCTTTTTCTGAATCAGTTATTTAATGATGTATTCTCTTTCACGACATCTTTATTGCTCCTTTTATCTGTTCTCGTCATTCGTCTATAAAACCACATATCTGCAGCTTAGACATACTTTTGTTTAATGTGTAAGTTTTCTTCTTCCTTTGCGTATGTTTTTTTTTTTTTTAGTTAATTTTGGAAATATCTAAGAGGATGGTGGGTTGCCGATTGTTCCCATTAGATAGTTGTTCGTTGGATTATCACCTCATTGATGGCAATGAAAGGGGGCCAAATCCCAGAAATAATTTTCAACCGTTAAAAAGAAACTATTATATTACGACACCTTTGCAGTTACTTATGGGAGCCACCTAGGTGTAGCGGCTAGACGCTAGCTTGCAGATAGAAAGATAGTGGGATCAAGTCCTCTAGGTGTAGCGGCTAGACTCTAGCTTGCAGATAGAAAGATAGTGGGGTCAAGTCCTGATGGAGTCAAAAAAAATTTTTAAATGACCTTGGTTCCCAGGTCGACCCCGCCTTGAGTGGATACCAGGTATAGTCATGGGAAGTAAATGTGGCCATGGTTATCTTGACCGCATTACTCACCGTCAGCCGATTAGTCTATAAAACATAGGTCTAGCCCCATATACCCAATACGCCTAAAGGCGTCGAGAAAGGTTCTTTTACTCCTGCTAC